CTCCTTTGTGGCAGGAACACCCACCCCTCCTGCTCTCACTCCTCACGGCACCGACCAGGCTCCTCCTCCAGGGCTGGGGGACGGGCATGTCCTCCTCCGGGGCTGGGGGACGGGCATGTCCTCCTCCAGGGACGGGGGACGGGTATGTCCCGGAAGAAGGCGGCGGAGTGGAGGCCCAGCCACCGCCTGGGAGAAATCCCCCATCCCAGGGAGTCTACACCGGGGCCGCTGAGCAGTCACAGGCTGAATGAATCGCGCCAAACACACCCTGCTTTTATTGCCGCCGTGAGCCCAGGAACAACAAGGCCTTGAGCGGGAGGCATACGTGAGGTTTAAAAAGAAGGACAGCCGTTTGGAGAACACTGACTCGGGCACAGGCTGTGTTCCATGGAGACAGACAACGGGCGTTTGTGAGGAGGGCCGGGCCGTGACATCAGTGGAAGGAAGGTTCCTGTGGTGCCGATCATGTAACAAGGATGCCGATTCAACAGTGTTTTCGTTTGCAGCTCAGTGTCATCGGCCCATAATGGCTACTTTGTTGTCATCGCTGCAAACAGTTCTTAGGAAAACAGGCTGCTAGGCTCGGCCCAAGGTCTGGGTTTCCGTTCTCGCCTCCATGGGTGTGGGCACAGGTGTGGGCACAGGTGAGCAGGCAGTTCCTCTGGCGCGGCCTCTGGCGCAGGTGGCGGTGGTGGGCTGGCCACGCTCCGAAAGACTCACAGGAACGCTCTCAGCACGAGCCTCAGGCGTCCACGAGGGACGGGTCCCCACACCATGCCGGCCCCGGCAGAACCTGCACCTGCGCTGGGGCGCAGCGCAGCATCTGAATTTTCTGATGTCATTTTCCATTCAGTTGCAATTTTCATCCTACTTGATATTTGTTTTCATATAGAAAATAGCTGGAGTGGAAATACCCTCAACCCCCGAGAAGGGGACACAGGTGCTTTTGAACCTACTCTGCCACAAGGGAAGCAGCAACCTCCAGGCCATGTCCTCACGCAAGGCAGCAAGGATTTACTTGTATTTAAATAACACTTACAGCCTGGCCGGCGTGGCTCAGTGGGTGAGCCATGACCTATGAACCAGGAGTCGTGGTTTGATTCCCGGTTGAGCGCTCACTCTCCAGTGTGGGGCGTACAAGAAGCAGTTGATCAACGATTCTCTCTCATCCTTGAAGTTTCTATCTCTCTCCCTCTCCCTCCCTCTCTGAAATTAGAAGAAATCTATACTAATAAAAGGCCTGTGGGTGAAGGTTAAAAAGAAAAAGAGCTGGCCCTGGCTGGTTTGACTCAGTGGATAGAGCATTGGCCTGCAGACTTAACGGTCCCGGGTTCGATTGTAGCCGGGAGCATATTCTTGTGGTTGCAGGCTTCATCCTTAGTAGGGGGCGTGCAGGAGGCAGCTGATCAATGATTCTCTCTCATCATTGATGTTTCTATCTTCCTGTCCTTTCCTATTTGAAATCAATAAAAATATATTAAAAAGAGAAAAGGAAGAAGGGTTGAACTCCTTATGGGAAAACCCAGTTTCAGCCTTAGACCAGCAAAACCAAAGTGCTACTATTATAATACAGGAGCATTATTTTAGAAACTCTCTTTCAGAATTCTGTCAGCCAAAATAGCATTCTAAGATGTTTCTTTATGTTTCCAACACTAAATGTAAGGCCTGGTATCCTATATGATAAAAGGGTAATATGCAAATAGACCTTAACATAGGAATGACCAGTCACTATGATGTGCACTGACCACCAGGGGGCAGACACTCAACCTAGGAGCTGCCCCCTGGTGGTCAGTGCGATCCCACGGGAGGAGCTCGGCTCAGCCACGAGCTGGGCTGCTGGCTGTGAGCCCAGTGGCGGTGGCAGGAGCCTCTCCTAGCTCCTCGGCAGCACTAAGGACGTCCCACTGCGGGGAGCAGGCCTAAGCTGTCAGTCGGATACCCCCCCGAGGGTTCCCAGGCTGCCAGAGGGATGTCTGACTGCCAGCTTAGGCCTGAACCCTTGGAGAGCAGGCCTAAGCTGGCAGGTGGACATCCCCCAAGGGGTCCTGGACTCGAGAGGGTACAGGCAGGGATCCCCCAGAGTGCATGAATTTTTATGTAGTGGACCTTTAGTCTATATAATAAAAGCCTAAGTGACCATTAAGGCAGAATGACCGGTCACTAAGATGCACACTGACCACCAGGGGGAAGATGCTCAATGCAGGAGCTGCCCCCTGGTGGTCAGTGCGCTCCCACAGGAGAAGTGCTGCTCAGCCAGAAGCTGGGCTCACAGCTGGCGAGCACAATGGTGGTGACAGGCGCCTCTCCTGCTTCCATGGCAACGCTAAGGAGCAGCGAGCAGGTGGGTGGTAAGGAGCAAGGGGTCCTGGGATCCCTGAGGGCTCCCAGACGGTGAGAAGGCACAGGCCGGGCTGAGGGAACCCTCTTGTCCCCCCCCCCAGTGCATGAATTTCATGCACCGGGCCTCTAGGATAGGAATAGAGCAGTATATTCAAATAAAACTAATTTATATGCAGTATCATACTCTGTAAATTTCAGGAATTAATTTTATCTTGAGCGGTTTCAGTGAGTGAGCCACTTTCTCTTTTCTCCTGGGTCTGTTCAGTATCGATGTAGGGCCTCTCCCCCAAGTTGACTCTCCCATGTGGCTCTGTGGCAATGGCCGTGGCTCCTGGGAGCATTTCCCCTGCTCAGGGGGCTGCTGCGCTTTCTCAGTGGGGGATGCTAGCGGGGAGGGGCATTGCAGGATGAGGCTGGCTTCTGCTGTGGCTTCTGGCTGCTGCTCAGGCCGATGGTGGCTGGTGTGTGGGGGACGTAAGGGGAGGATTGCGGTGAGGGTGTGAGGACATCCAGGACATGCTGGAAATGTGCAGTCCCTCAGCTCTCCGGCCCCGCGCCGTGACCGCCATAACCTAGTGCCCTCCACACAGTTTGTGAGCTGTAGGCTCCTGTCCACACTGGAGCCCCCACTCCCTCTGCCCCTTTCCACTTTGGACTTCTGTGTCCCATGGCCCTGCCGACACTGACACCAGAGCCCTCGCTCCCTCTGTACGTCCGGCTGTGGCCTGTGTGTGCCTCGGCCAGCTGCCTCCCATTGGCCCCGGCTGCGGACCAGCTCTGGCCCCGGAGAACCAGTGCTGACACCATGGGCTGCAGCAGCACCTTTCCCATGCGAACTGAGCCCCTCTGGGGGCGCGGAGCCTCCTTGGATGTTCTGCCAGCCCTCCTCTGTTTGCTCTAACCCCGTGGTCGGCAAACTGCGGCTCGCGAGCCACATTCGACTCTTTGGCCCCTTGAGTGTGGCTCTTCCACAAAATACCACGGCCTGGGAGAGTCTATTTTGAAGAAATGGCGTTAGAAGAAGTGTAAGTTTAAAAAACGTGGCTCTCAAAAGGAATTTCAATCGTCGTGCTGTTGATATGTGGCTCTGTGGACTGATGAGTTTGCAGACCACTGCTCTATCCAGACTCACTGTCCCTCTACCCCGACACCAGACCAGCCTGCTCTCCAGCTCGATGGAATTTTCTTCTGACCCCTTGTAAGTGCTGGCCATCCCACCCCTCCCTGGGTTACAGGGTTTAGCAAGTGAGAATATAGCACACCCTGTCCACTGGAATTACGTGAACAGACATTCTTAGTGCAGTGTGTCCTAACGTTGCGTGGGCTGTATTTACCTAAAAGGTTACTTGTTGAAAGTCAGGGTTAGCTCCCCTCCCACAACTGCTCCTCAGCCCAGCCTCCAGGGAGGAGAGGGGAATCAGCCACCCTCTCTAACCAGCAGGGGGCAGCGCCAGCCTTTCAGGCAGCGGGTGTGAGTTTTCCTCTCTGTGCTTCTCTCTGTGTAAATGGTGGATGATCAGACACAGGTGTAAGTTACCCTTTATCCCTCTTCATCTGAGGATCCCCATTACTTTGACGAACACCCCCATCCCCGCAAACACAGAGTTGATCGAGGCAACTCTACAGACTCCTGTGATTCAGCATTGCCTCTTTCATCTCACTCTGTTTGGTGTAAGCAGACGGGCTTCTCTGCCCAGGCTGTCCTGACTTATTTAAATGCTCAGTGGCCTGAACACTTTGTAGGGATTGCAAAAGGGTGGCCCACAAACTAAATTTGACACTTGGCCTTGGAAACTTGACCCACTAGTGCAGACCGCATATGAGCCAACCAGCAAGCTCTCGTGTCTGTGCTTTCTGCGCCCGGAGAAGGCTCTGCGCCCCACTCGCCTTCTAACCGCCCATCTTCCTGCGGCTGGTGGTCCACCCTGTGCTTGCAGCTGAGGTGACATCCCTGTCTCCCCCAATTCCAGGCAGATGCCTCTTTAAGACTCAGGGGCACCCTTGCGGGTGAGGGACTTCTGACCTCTGTAGGATGCTTCGCAGTGACCAGATACTGCCCCAGTCCTTCCCACTAACCACGGGTCTGGCCCACATCCATTGGCTCCTGCCCAGGTCTCTCAGGCCCCACCTTCCAGTACGTGTTAACCCTCCACTTCCTTTGACTTTAGGTTGCCCTTGGACATGTGACTGCCGTGTTGGACTGGCCCATTCGTGCACTGGCCCATCCTCCCACCCTCCTCTGCATGGAGCATGGTACCAGGTGCTGCCCTGACACCCCCCTCCTCCCCAGGGATCTGCCCTGATGCCTGGGCAGTGACGCTTCCGGACGCCCTCGCTTTGCGTTTGAGCTGGTGATGGCCGCCGTTAAGGGAGCCTTGGACTTCTCCCAGTGTCCTTTGCACCTTTACCTGGGACACTTGGTGGTGACGGCATGGACATCTTCCAGGACATACATGGAGCTCGTCTGTCAACTTTGTGACCACAGGTGAAGGCGACGCCAATTCAAGGGGATTGTGGGGCGAATGAAGGGCAACGGGGAGGCGCCCTCCTTGTGCTCTCAGCACCCTGGCACCTTTATTGGGGTCTCTGCACACGGATGCACGGTCCGCCCTCGGCCTGCAGGTTTGCAGGGGCGACGGGACCCGCCTGCCTCCCCCGCGTCAGCCCGCAGCCGGGTTGGCGACCTTGCCCAGGAGGAGTAAGCTCTGGGTGGCCACCTCCCACACCAGCACCAGGAAAGGCCTGTTGAAATGGGCGTGGGGGGCCCACGTCACGTTCAGAGGCTGGGGCTGGGAGAGGAGGCCGGAGGCAGCCCCGGCCTTGGTTCCCCGCTCGCTCATGTCCATGGCTGCCTTGTGCGACACCTGGAAGGGAAGGCAGGGACAGCTGGGGACACGCCATAGCATAGTCTGTGTGACTCATCGCTAGCATGTCTCTCTCCTCTCCTGACGTGCCTGGGAGACACCAGGAGGGGCAGGCAGAGCCCCCCTGCCCAGGTCTCCCAGGCCCCCAGCAACTCCAGCTCTGGTCCTTTTCCTCCTCTCCCCATCTTTCCCGCCATGTCTGGGGGCTCACCCTGAAGGTGCATGTGCTCCGTGGTGGGGAGATCAGCGAGCCTGAGGCAGGCCGCAGAAACCCAAAGGCGCCCTCCGGAACGTTCGCAGCCCCTGGGAGCCACCACCAGCTGCACTTCCTCTCGCTAAGCCTCAGTTTTCTCATCTCTAAAATGGCCTGCTCAGCCTCAGTCAACGGTTCCCATGCGCTCCGTGGAGCCTGCTGTTTGTGCTGCTGGCCCTCTGCTCTCCTCGCTCTGAGGAAGGCAGACGGAGTCGCTGCCTGTCCCAGGAGGAAGAGGGGGACAGAGCAGAGTTGTCCCACACAGGACATAGGCTCCTGGACGCCCCTGAATGTGTGCCTTCTCTATTCCAGACTCGTCTCCGTGCTCTGGGGGCTGGAGAGAGAGCTGGGAAGGGCGCTGCCAGGAAAGGGAGCCTCACAGGTGGTGGCGTTAGAGAACCGGAATAGGAAAGAGAAAGGAGAACTTGATCTTCAAAGCTACACTTCCTGTCCAGGGGGAGAAGGCCCCTCCCACGTGCCCACCCATCACCTCCGTACCCGGAAGATGGTTCCGTTCAGCCACCCTGGGGCTCCCAGCAGGTCCTCTCCTAAGTTGAAAACGTTGCTGAGCCCGATGTGGGGAAGAATCTCCTCCAGGTTGTAGGTTCCAGAAATGGCGAACCGTGGCAAGTGCAGGTCCAGCAGGCTGCGGGGAGAACCAGACGGGAGGGCCCGCCCTGGCCATGGGCGGCCTGCCTGGCAGGGAGGAGTGCTTCCCGAGGGGAACCAGTCTTCCTGGGACACTGCCTGCTGTGCCAGAACATTCCACAGCCCACGGCCACGGCCCTGCTCCTCGGACAGTGCAGAGCTCTGTGCCTCTTCCCAGAGCCGGCCGGGCCTCTCCGTCTGACCGCCCTGTCCTCCTCCTCGGCGTAGCGAGGGCTTTTCAGACGCCCGGCACTGGGCCAGGGTGTTTACACAGCGGAACTGCTCGGACCCACATACTACCCAGCGAAGGCGACCGTGGTTAACCTTCTCCTACTTCCACGTCTGCTCATCAGCAGGTTCTGCTGGCCTCGCCTCTGAACGCCTTCCTAAGCCCATCTACTGGCAGCCCCTGTAAAGCCCTCCGCCCACTGTCTGAGCTTCCGGGCTGATGAGGGGCTGTGACCCCAGTGTGGGCGCCCATCGCTAGCGTGGCTCTCCTCTCCTGGCGTGCCATGACCCGCATTCCTGGGTTCACTCTGGGGTTCTTTGAACACAGAGCAAAGCTGTCCTTGCTTTTGGGGGTTACTCTCCTCAGTTACTCAACACTTTCTGGGGGACCTGCAAGCTGGGCTGGTGAAGAGCCAGCGCAGACCCTTCGGCCTCTAATGAATCCAGCGTGGAGACCCAGCTCAGGTTAGGGGCTCCTCACCACGCTAACTCCTGGGCAGTATGGGCCCAGGCGCCCAGGTGAAGTGGGGGCAGTCGGAAGTTGGGGTTAAACTGTGAAAAGGGGGAAACAGAGGTGGAGAGCGGGGCAGGTCCCACCCTTGAGGGGGGTTTGGGTAGAGTTGCCTCCGTACCCGGAAGATGGTTCCGTTCAGCTGCCCTGGGGCTCCCAGCAGGTCGGCTCCTAAGGTGAAAACGTTGCCGAGCCCGCTGTGGGAAGTATCTCTCCCAGGTTACAGGCTCCAGAAATGGCGAACCGTGGCAAGTGCGGGTCCAGCAGGCTGCCGACACACCCAGTGTCCACCCAGTGAGCGAAGAAGGTCACCAGGAAGTGTGACTTCCCAGGCGGGCGAATTGCCTCCCAGCCGAGAGGACGGAGGGACCAGGCCAGGGGCAGGGGGAGGGGAGGACGGGGAGGCCTGAAGCTTTCATGCTGAAAGCCCATTAAAATGCTGCTCTAATATCATAACTCTGGCCGGAGAAACCTCTGACATTTAAGAAAATCAGTTGGGTTGGTTTTGCGGCTTGAAGGGCCAAGCCAAGAGGTCAAAACAGACCCACCCCGAAGGAAAGCCTTTTGGTCTAGAAGATCCTATGAGACGGGGTGGGGCAGGCTCACCCCAAGGGAGCTGAGCTGCTGGGCTGGACTCAGAACTGACGGAGCTCTGTATCCACAGAAACACCCTCAGCCCCTGGCCTCTGGCCTTGACCCGCACCTCTTTCATCTGGTGCTTGAATCTCTGCCCAAACACAAACACCCTTTCCTCTCCCGGAACCCCGGGGTGGTGGGTGCTGAGCGAAGGCTGGTGGTAGGCCAGCAATGGGTCAGGAGGTTTGTTTGTGCCCCGCCCCCGAGTCTGGTGGATCCTGTGACTGCTCTGGCCAACGGGACAGGCAGCGGTCCCTCCAAGCCGAGGCTCTCGCTCCGTGTCTCCTTGGAGCCTGAGCTGCCATGTGACAGCATCAGTGACGCTGAGCTGCTTGTGCAGATGCTGGACGGACACAGAGAGAAGGCCCAGCAGCTGCATGGAGATGCTGCGTGGAGACAGAGAGATGCCTGCCCAGCCCTTAGCTGGGACACCTCCACGCCCAGGCACCAGAGGAGAGCTCATGCCCAGCCCTAGCCATCCTCAGCCGGAACTGCCAGCTGGGCTGCCCACTCACAGAAGTGAGAGAGAGGCTGATGTTGTTTGCCAAGCCACTCCATTCTGGGGTGGTTTGGTAGCAGCAGAGGTCATTAGAACCCAAGGCCAGCTTTCATCCCGGGGCGCCTCATAAGGGGCGATACACCCCAAGAAGGAGTTGGCGCTTAAAGGGGTCTGGCCAAACTGGAAAAGAATGAAACTGATAGCCGCAAACCGGCAATCAAGTGAGACGGGAGGGGGTCAGACTGCGACCCCATTAAACTGGGATCTGGTTTACAGTGCTCCTCTTGGTGCTTCATTTCTTTAAGAAATGTCTTAATCAACAAAGAGATGCACTTTTAAGAAATTGACACTGTCCTGTGCGAGTCATAATTCTTAGGAATTGTCTTTGCCCTGGTTTTGTGCCTCAGCGAACGACCTTCTGACATAAAGCGTGGTTTGGACCAGGGGAAGCGAGGGAGGGAGGCGGGGCAGCACGAGGCCCCCGAGGGCCCAGAAGGACGCAGCCCTCCCTTCCCTGTGAGCTGTTCTCCGCTCCAGCCGCTCCTCAGCGCTCCGTGCGCATCCGCTCAGTTAACCCTCCGCCAGCCCCGTGCCCTGTGCCAGGGCCTCGGTGTACAGGGGAGGAGATCCGAGGCCCAGAGGTCAGAAAGTGGCCCAAGACCCCAGCTGGTCAGCCTAGCCTAGGGCTGGCCTCTTGCATCGGAGCTAAGAACTGCTCGGTCCTGCCCCAGGGCGGGCAGAGTCCTGTCCTCTCGCTTACCTGGGCGGGAGCAGCTGGCTCCATGTCCGCAGCGTCTCGGGCTGCAGAGCGGCCTCCACCTGCTGCATGCGGCCCGGGTCCGGGAGGACGAGCAGGGCCAGCGCGTTGCCGCTGTGCTCCACCTGCAGCACCGTGCAGGCCCGCTCCGGGTCGTACAGGAACCTGTGCATTTCCTTCTGCTGCATCATGGGCACGCGGAGCGGCGGCCTCTCGTTCGCGGAGAAGCTCTCCTGCTTCTGGGGCTGGTAGCGATGGAAAGGATGCTTCCACTTGGCTTAGGACACAGAACCCGCAGGTCCGTGAGGACACGGGACCCGCAGGTCCGTGAGGACACGGGACCCGCAGGTCGTGAGGACACGGGACCCATAGAACCAGGAGGACACAAAACCCATAGAACGGTGAGGACACGGAACCCACAGGTCCGTGAGGACACGGAACCCGCAGGTCCGTGAGGACACGGGACCCATAGGATGGTGAGGACACGGAACCTGCAGGTCCGTGAGGACACGGAACCCATAGAACCAGGAGGACACAAAACCCGTAGGATGGTGAGGACACGGAACCCGCAGGTCCGTGAGGACACGGGACCCGCAGGTCGTGAGGACACGGAACCCGCAGGTCCGTGAGGACACGGGACCCGCAGGTCCATGAGGACACGGGACCCATAGGATGGTGAGGACACGGAACCTGCAGGTCCGTGAGGACACGGAACCCATAGAACCAGGAGGACACAAAACCCATAGAACGGTGAGGACACGGAACCCGCAGGTCTGTGAGGACACGGAACCCGCAGGCCTTGAGGACACACTCCAAGGCAGCACTGGGCAGACAGACGCTAAGCCACTGCCTGGTGACTTCCTCTGGGGAACAATCTAAGGCACAGACGCAGGCTCAGGAGACAGGATGCAGGTCCGGCTCAGTCCCCAGGACTCATCCCTGGCCTGAACTCCTCATGGCCAGTGAATTCCTTTCCTTCAGAACAACATAGCTTTCAAGAGGCAGACAGTCCTATTTCAACCTACCTCCTAAGCACCTTCCCTGTGCAGTGCATTCTCTCCGTACCTCCCCAGCATTAGCAGTAAGCGAGGATTATCGTCTCGGGGTCAGAGAGGAGGACTGGGCCTTGGGAATGTGGGCAAACACCCTCCATGTGCAGACCCCCTCGGTGCCAGAGCCGGGGTCAAGGCTGCCTCTGGCCCCACAGCTCATGTTTGCAAACAGAGCCCCTGCCCAGCTGCCTGTAGGCAACAGTCTTCAACAAAGAAGACGGGGGTCACCCCCTCCCTCCCAACTCCCTAATGTTCAGGCTGGAACAGGAGAGAATTTCGTTAATAACGTGAAATGCATAACGCAGAAGCCCCACCAGGCACAGTCAGACATGCAGAATCTGGTGCTCGTGGTCCCGTCCAGCTGTGGTATCATCTCTCTCGCTACACTCTCCACGCACAGCCAGTCCTGACTTGGCCTCTTGAAAGCCCTGGCCTTGGCGAAGGGGGAGGGGCTGGCTTGTCCAGTCCCCGCTGTCCACTCCCAACCAATGACCAAGTGTCGCTGATCCTCTCCCCGCAGCCGCGGCCGTACCCAAGGCCACCCTCTTTCTCACTCGGTTCCGCTTTAAGAGCGCCCTGCCTTGTCTCTCCAGCCTCACTTCCCCCCATTTTCCACGTTGCAGCCACACTGGTCTTCCTCCCAGCAGATGTGGGCATGCCCCGCCCTCTCCCAGCTGTGCGGGAATCCTGGGTCCCAGAGACAGGCTGGGACTGGCACAGCTCCGGCTCACCTTCTCCCGCAGCTCTCACTGCCCAGCCACGCCCCACACCCTCTGTGTCAGTCCAGCCAGTCTGCTTCACTCCTGAGAGCGCATGGTGTCTCTGTAGCTCGGGCGTCTGCCTATGCTGCTGTCCCTTCTGAAACCCCTTCTCTCCGCCCCTCCTGCAGCTTCTGATGTTTCCCCACGTTCCCAGAGGCTCACTCCTCACGTCCGCCTTAGATTCCTCCTCTCCCGGAGCCTCCGCCACTCCCCACGTCTGGGCCAGGGTCCCTGCAAGCCAGGCGCCACGCCTCCTCCTGCAGAGTGCGTTTCCCCCTGAGCTGTGACTGCCTTTTCCTCATCCACAACCACGTGCAGCCCTGCCTGCAGGGAACCGTCTCTTCTCATAACCCGCCCGAGTCCGCCCTCCCAGCCCTCCTCCTGGGAAACACATCACACAAGTCCCCCTGAGGGGTGTTCTGCCCAACCCCTGCCCTGCTCCGCCCCTCGGCACGGCCATGAGAAGCAAGGGAAGGCTGAGAAGCCGTGCCCGCCACGAGGGCCCACGTCGGCATGACTGAGCGTAAGGCAGGTCGTGGGTGGGGCCTCGGAATAGGAAAAAACATGAGGGAAAACGCAAAAGGCTGAAAGGTATAAAGATATGTGTACGAATGCAGGAATAACTGAACTATATATAAAAAAAAAGAATCCTAAAAGTGTGACATGTTTAATGCAACAGTCAAAATTATCCATATAAATCACGACATGGTAATGACACTAAAGCGTAAGTGTGAGATAATATACACTGGACGAGAGCGTCTGGGTGAAGTCGTTACACGGTGTGTCACAGAAGAGGTACACACCCTAATGAGCGCACGGAGCGCACGGAGGGGAGGAGGATGCACCCGCCCGAGGCCAGTGCCAGCCCCCGGAGGGGAGGAGGGGAGGAAAGGGGACTAGGAAAGCATTAATAAGAGATTGAACTTTATCATATTTCTAAAAAGTCTGAATCAAATGGTAAAATGCTAATGTCTCATTCTTGGTGGGAGGAATGAATGGTGGTTTTATATTATTTTTTGTATATTTTTGTATGTGTGAAGTCAATAATAATAATATAAAAAATAAAATATTTGCCCAGCCACTGTTGTTCAGTGGTTGAGCATTGACCTATGAACCAAGAGGTCACAGTTCGATTCCCAGTCAGGGCATGTGCTGGGGTTGTGGGCTCAATTCCCAGTAGGGGGTATGCAGGAGGCAGCTGAGCGATGATTCTCATCATAGATGTTTCTATTTCCCTCTCCCTCTTCATTCTTCTCTGAAATAAAAAAATATATAAATAAATAAAATATTTTCCTAAAATTAAACGATTAATAGAAAAGTGAGACTAAGTGTAACAAAAAGAATCAGAATAAAAATAGAATAGGAAAAAAAAAAAACATGGCAAGAGAAACCAAATATTTGCAATGAAGAAGTAGTGATATAAGAACATTATTAAAATAGTAGAGGCCCAGTGCATGAAATTTGTGCCCTCGGGGGTGGAGGTCCCTCAGCCCAGCCTGCGCCCTCTCGCAGTCCAGGAGCCCCTGCTGGAGTGGGCCTAAGCCGGCAGTCGAACATCCTTAGCATTGCCACCGACCGCCCCCGTGCTCCCCACCCTGAGCCCAGCTTCTGGCTGAGCGGCACTGCCCCTGTGAGAGCGCACTGACCACCAGGGGGCAGCTCCTGCTTTGAGCGTCTGTCCCCTGGTGGCCAGTGCGTGTCATAACGACCAGCCGTTTAGTCAGTTTGCATATTAGCCTTCCTTATATGGGATGCAGGGGTCACCGCCCTAAGAAACAGCTGTGACTTTAGGATGGTGGCTTGGAGGGCGGGCTGGGTGGAGGGCGGGGCCGAGGCGGAGGGCCGGTTGCCAGGCTGGCACTCACCTTTGAAGAAGATGTGGTTCAGGAGCACCAGGGGCGTGTCCTCGCTGACCTCCTGCAGGCAGCCCACCACCTGCCCGTACGTCCGCTTCTGCACGTAGCCGTTCATGTGCCTCCGGGCCGCGGCAGAGTCCGTGAGGTTCACAGAGAAGGCGGAGGCTCCGTACAGCTCCCTGACGGCGTCCAGAAAGCGCTGCCGCGGCTTCAGCTGCCTGTCCAGGAACAGGGCGTGGCCCACTTTCAGCTCCAGTTTGGGGCTGGGCAGGTCCAGCGCGTGGATGAGGCTCTGGAAGCCGCGGTGGACGCTGGCCGTCGGGGTCTCCGTGAGGTTGAAGCCCAGGCCCTGCAGGATCTGGGCCGAGGTGTCCGCGCGGGCCCCGAGGGAGAGCAGGGCCAGGGCGCTGGCCACGCTCACCGGGGAGAAGAGGATGTTGCCCGGGCTCTCCGCGGCCAGCTGCTTGTACACGCGCAGGGCGAAGCTGGTGATGGTGGGTGTGACTCGGTGGTAGGCGGGCGCTGGCTCCGGGAGCCCAGCCCCGGGGGCTGGAGGCAGCCCCGGACTCTTGTCTCCATGAGCGGAGGCCAGGATCCCCGCTCCCAGCAGCCACAGCCAGGCCGGCTCCATCCTCTGGAAACAAGGGGTTCAACACGGCACTCTCTAAATGCCGTCACCGCTCCCCACTGCTCCCCCCACGAACCTCCCATCCAGACTGTCCCACAGGGTCTGGGGGCCCTGCGGAGGGTGAGGGAGGGCGAGCAGCCGGGCTCAGGACACGCCCCCAAGCCTCAGTCAGATGGGGGCCCTTTATCTGCTCTGCACATTGACACGTTAGAGGATGCTGCTGAGAACAGGACTCTGGGTTATGAAAGCAACTTCCATGGCTCTCTCCCTCCTTCCCTCCCTCCCTCCCTCCCCTTTCCCCCTTCTTTCCAGTCATTCCTCCACTTCACCGCGCTTTAACGAGATGAGGATGATGCTCAGAACTCCTGAGGGGACGTTTAGGACGTGGTGGCAGTGAGTATTGCTGGCCCTGACCCAGTCAGACCGCGTCCTCACAACAAGGGGAACAGAGCTGGCCACATTCGGAGGACGCTGGGGGAGGGAGGCAGAGGTGGACAGCCCGGGAAGCCAGGCGTCCCAGCAACAGCCAGAGGCTCAGAGAGGCCCGCACGGCGTCCCCAGCTCCAGAAGGACCAGCCCTGCCCACACCTTGACCTTGGCATTCTGGCTCCAGAACCAGGAGACAGTGCATGGCTGTGGTTGAGGCCGTCTAGCCTGCGGTCCTGGGCTGTGACAGCCGAGGCCTCTGTCCAGCGCCTCTCCTGCTGCGGTCCACGCCGAGGGCAGCGGAGGCAGAGCAGGGCCCTGTTCGGCCCGCGGCTCAGCCAGGGGAGCTGCCGTGGAGACAGGGCCGGTCTCTGCTCGCCCCGCCCCGTCTAGTGCCCCTCCCCTCTGGGGTCTCCACACCCCGTGCTCACAGCGCAGCGGCCGCCAGCCTCTGCGCCCACTGAGGAGAGGACCGCCCTCCTCCCTTCAGAACCCACTGCGCCGCCCTGTCCATCCTGGCCGGCCTGTCCGTCTGTCCTGATTGGGGTGTCCTCACCAGCACCTGCGTGCCATGTGCCCGGACCAGTGGCCTCTGGGCAGCCGGCCAGCGCCCGGTGGTGTGGGAGACACTGTATTTCTGCAGGTGCTTACAGAGCCCTCAACGCCCCCGCCCCAGGCCAGGGTCAGGGATGAAGGCAGCCGCCGCCGGTGATGGAGCTGGTCAGCTGCATGGCTCCAAGGCCATGGCCGGCCTGCAGCTCAGCCGCCGCGGCTTATTAACCACCCTCCCTGCTGACCACCCCTAACCACCCCCTAACCACCCCCTAACCACCCACTAACGACCCCCTAACCACCCACTAACCACCCCCTAACCGCCCACTAACCACCCACTAACCACCCCCTAACCACCCACTAACCACCCACTAACCACCCCCTAACCGCCCACTAACCACCCACTAACCACCCCCTAACCACCCACTAACCACCCACTAACGACCCCCTAACCACCCACTAACCACCCCCTAACCACCCACTAACCACCCCTAACCACCCCCTAACCACCCCCTAACCACCCCCTAACCACCCACTAACCACCCCCTAACCACCCCCTAACCACCCACTAACCGCCCCCTAACCGCCCACTAACCACCCTCTCTGCTGACCACCCCTAACCACCCCCTAACCACCCCCTAACCACCCACTAACCACCCCCTAACCACCCCCTAACCACCCCCTAACCACCCACTAACCACCCACTAACCACCCCCTAACCACCCCCTAACCACCCCCTAACCACCCCCTAACCACCCCCTAACCACCCACTAACCACCCCTAACCACCCCCTAACCACCCCCTAACCACCCACTAACCACCCACTAACCACCCCCTAACCACCCCCTAACCACCCACTAACCACCCCTAACCACCCCCTAACCACCCCCTAACCACCCCCTAACCACCCACTAACCACCCCCTAACCACCCCCTAACCACCCACTAACCGCCCCCTAACCGCCCACTAACCACCCTCTCTGCTGACCACCCCTAACCACCCCCTAACCACCCCCTAACCACCCACTAACCACCCCCTAACCACCCCCTAACCACCCACTAACCACCCCCTAACCACCCCCTAACCACCCCCTAACCACCCACTAACCACCCCCTAACCACCCCCTAACCACCCACTAACCACCCCCTAACCACCCACTAACCGCCCCCTAACCGCCCACTAACCACCCTCTCTGCTGACCACCCCTAACCACCCCCTAACCACCCACTAACCACCCCCTAACCACCCACTAAACACCCCCTAACCACCCCCTAACCACCCACTAACCACCCACTAACCACCCTCTCTGCTGACCACCCCTAACCACCCCCTAACCACCCACTAACCACCCCCTAACTACCCCCTAACAACCCACTAACCACCCCCTAACAACCCCCTAACCACCCACTAACCACCCCCTAACCACCCACTAACCACCCCCTAACCACCCACTAACCACCCCCTAACCACCCTCTAACCACCCCCTAACCACCCACTAACCACCCACTAACCACCCACTAACCACCCACTAACCACCCCCTAACCACCCACTAACCACCCCCTAACCACCCACTAACCACCCCCTAACCACCCCCTAACCACCCACTAACCGCCCCCTAACCGCCCACTAACCACCCTCTCTGCTGACCACCCCTAACCACCCCCTAACCACCCACTAACCACCCCCTAACCACCCACTAAACACCCCCTAACCACCCCCTAACCACCCACTAACCACCCACTAACCACCCTCTCTGCTGACCACCCCTAACCACCCCCTAACCACCCCCTAACCACCCACTAACCACCCCCTAACCACCCACTAACCACCCTCTCTGCTAACCACCCCCTAACCACCCCTAACCACCCCCTAACCACCCACTAACCACCCCCTAACCACCCCCTAACCACCCCCTAACCACCCCCTAACCACCCACTAACCACCCCCTAACCACCCCCTAACCACCCACTAACCACCCTCTAACCACCCTCTAACCACCCTCTAACCACCCTCTCTGCTGACCACCCCCTAACCACCCCCTAACCACCCACTAACCACCCACTAACCACCCTCTAACCACCCCCTAACCACCCACTAACCACCCACTAACCACCCTCTAACCACCCCCTAACCACCCCCTAACCACCCCTAACCACCCCCTAACCACCCCCTAACCACCCACTAACCACCCGCTAACCACCCACTAACCACCCCCTAACCACCCCCTAACCACCCCCTAACCACCCTCTAACCACCCCCTAACCACCCCCTAACCACCCACTAACCACCCTCTCTGCTAACCACCCCCTAACCACCCCTAACCACCCCCTAACCACCCACTAACCACCCCCTAACCACCCACTAACCACCCTCTCTGCTAACCACCCCCTAACCACCCCTAACCACCCCCTAACCACCCACTAACCACCCCCTAACCACCCACTAACCACCCTCTCTGCTAACCACCCCCTAACCACCCCCTAACCACCCACTAACCACCCCCTAACCACCCCCTAACCACCCCCTAACCACCCTCAAACCACCCCCTAACCACCCCCTAACCACCCCCTAACCACCCTCTAACCACCCCCTAACCACCCCCTAACCACCCCCTAACCACCCACTAACCACCCTCTCTGCTAACCACCCCCTAACCACCCACTAACCACCCCCTAACCACCCCCTAACCACCCCCTAACCACCCACTAACCATCCACTAACCACCCACTAACCACCCTCTAACCACCCTCTAACCACCCTCTAACCATCCACTAACCACCCTCTCTGCTAACCACCCCCTAACCACCCCCTAACCACCCCCTAACCACCCACTAACCACCCCCTAACCACCCCCTAACTACCCACTAACCACCCTCTAACCACCCTCTAACCACCCTCTAACCACCCTCTCTGCTGACCACCCCCTAACCACCCCCTAACCACCCACTAACCACCCTCTAACCACCCCCTAACCACCCCCTAACCACCCACTAACCACCCACTAACCACCCTCTAACCACCCCCTAACCACCCCCTAACCACCCCCTAACCACCCCTAACCACCCCCTAACCACCCCCTAACCACCCACTAACCACCCGCTAACCACCCACTAACCACCCCCTAACCACCCCCTAACCACCCCCTAACCACCCACTAACCGCCCCCTAACCACCCCCTAACCACCCTGTCTGCTGACCACCCCTAACCACCCCCTAACCACCCCCTAACCACCCCCTAACCACCCACTAACCACCCCTAACCACCCCCTAACCACCCCCTAACCACCCCCTAACCACCCCTAACCACCCTCTCTGCTGACCACCCCTAACCACCCCCTAACCACCCACTAACCACCCTCTCTGCTGACCACCCCTAACCACCCCCTAACCACCCCCTAACCACCCACTAACCACCCCCTAACCACCCCCTAACCACCCACTAACCACCCTCTAACCACCCTCTAACCACCCTCTAACCATCCACTAACCACCCTCTCTGCTAACCACCCCCTAACCACCCCCTAACCACCCCCTAACCACCCACTAACCACCCCCTAACCACCCCCTAACCACCCCTAACCACCCCCTAACCACCCTCTAACCACCCTCTAACCACCCTCTCTGCTGACCACCCCTAACCACCCCCTAACCACCCACTAACCACCCTCTCTGCTGACCACCCCCTAACCACCCCCTAACCACCCACTAACCACCCCCTAACCACCCCCTAACCACCCACTGACCACCCTCTCTGCTAACCACCCTCTCTGCTGACCACCCCCTAACCACCCCTAACCACCCTCTAACCACCCTCTCTGCTGACCACCCCTAACCACCCCCTAACCACCCACTAACCACCCTCTCTGCTGACCACCCCCTAACCACCCCCTAACCACCCACTAACCACCCACTAACCACCCTCTAACCACCCCCTAACCACCCCCTAACCACCCACTAACCACCCTCTCTGCTAACCACCCCCTAACCACCCCCTAACCACCCACTAACCACCCTCTCTGCTGAC